GCATGTCGTGATGACGTAGTAGAGCAGAGAAGTCCATTGAACGATTCTTCCACAGTGAAAATTTCTGGTGTTTAAATTCGTCTCGAGAATATTTTTCCTGCTCACGACCACGTTATTGTTTGAAGAACCAGCACATTCGAATCTGAAGCAGTTGGATACATCCCGGAAAGTGAAATTTGACTTGATGTATTTAAGGATTCGCCAACGGAGAATGTTCGCACACTATATGNAAGTTGCGGTTTTTCCGCCGGGATTACAAAATTTATTATATTCTAAGACGTCCACTTAAATATTTCGGAAAAATATTAAGATTCAAGTGAACTGGACCGATTTGAAAATACCTCCAAAAATGGAGTTTTTTATGAATAAAAATAGTTTCTTAAAGAACTTTTTGAAAAAAGTCCCCTCAGATGACACAACAGACTAAGCTTAAAAAATCTGCATAAAAATATTTAAAAATCTTTTAAACGGAATCGTAAGAATGAGATTTTTGATGCTGTTTTTTTTTACTTTTTTCAAAGATTGATTTACGAAAAACTTGAATAACTGGGCCAAAACTATTCTGATTTCACCTCGTTCGTTCTCCGTAGTTTTCTCCCATGTTGGGTGCCTAGCATTCGCAACGCAACCGATAAAAGTGTTTAGTTTGGGTCAGTTCGTAAATGCATTACTGCGGCATCATTGCAAAAACCAGTCAGTATTTGTAAACTATAATTGTTAGAAATGCCCAGTATGCGTAAACACAGCTAAACGCAGAAACTTTGGGTTGCATTTACTACAAACTTCCGGTCTATGCTTTAATGAAAACAATTCATTGTTTCTTTTTTTAAGAAATCAGTTGCAATTAAGCGACCGAACTCTTATCTATGTTGTCTATTTTTTAGCTGAAAGTAAAGAGTTTCTAAGTACTAACCATTTTCGTCTACTCTCCTTTTTAATATATCCTAGACTTCAACTTCTCAAGGGCAGTGCCAGCGAGTTGGTTTTCGCCAATAATCAATTAACCAAAGTGCCAACATTTTTGTCGCAATTCACGCGGCTAACTCTGCTCAACTTATCGTGTAATCAACTCTCTGACCTTCCGAACGAGCTGGGTGTGCTCAACACATTGCGAGAATTGAACATTTGTAATAATCGGTAAGTACTTGAGCAATGAACTAGGCTTTAGGTGTTTACTAATTTCTAATGCACACACTGTTACATAATCAAATATTATTCCTTCCTCTGGCATTTTAGCTTTGACCATATACCGAGCTGTCTCTATCAAACACAAAATCTTGAAATTTTCTTAGCCAGCGACAATCGTATCAAGCATATCGAGCCACACCGGAGGGCTTGGGCGCTTTGAAGCGGCTCACCATCTTAGATTTACGTAACAACAACATTGAACAAGTGCCACCCGTACTTGGTAATCTCAAAAATATTGTGTAAGTTGACATATGTAGCTAATCCAAGTCTTCTAATTACATATGTGCATATGTATATATTTTCTTCTAATTATATTGTTTCGCTTGCAGTACTCTGGAGCTGCTTGGTAATCCATTCCGTCAACCGCGTCATCAAATACTTGTCAAAGGCACAGATGCTATCATGTCGTATTTGCGTGATCGTATACCGGCTTAGCGCCGACGTACGGAAGTCTTTTTTCTTCATTTTAGAGTAGAGCGTAGCTTGAAAATCTTTAGTTACAAAATGGAAAATGTAAATTTTGATGGTCGCGAGAGATTTGCTCGATATTGCTAATTTTTTTATGAAATTAACTCAGCCGCTGTTGGCATGCGTGAGCTTCGGCGTAGATAACGTTTTCAAAAGCAGTTGGTGATAGTTTTGGAATTTTATTTGTGAGAACAGAATACGCAATACTTTTCAGGATACATACAGACATACTATGTACTTGATGATGTACTCTTAAAACAAGGAAATATATTTTTTTTCGCAATAATGCAAAGGTTTCATCTATGCACCAAACATTGTTTGTATAGTGTGATTTATGCGCAAAAAAATATTGTTTATTAATTACTAATTCATTACATACACTAGTCATCATGTGCAATATGCGTAACGCGCGCGTGCACACATAGCTGGAAACTTTGTTAGAAAATATATTTTTTGTGTCGTAAAAATTTAATACATATACGAAATTTGCACTCGCATTAAACATGGCTAGCACTTAATGTGTAAAACAGAAAGTACCCTTCTAATCTAAGTATAGCTTTTAAATGTTAAAATATAAACTCAAAACTGTAATGCCAAACACTAATAAAAACCAAAGCCTTCATATAAAGCTTCTAAGCAAGTATTTAATTTGCATACAAAATATTTAGAAATGTATGGGTCGATTATGGATGGCAATGCAACCTGCATTGTGTTGCCGATGGGCAACGCCACTGAAATTAAAATGAACAGAGATATTAAAAGTACTTGTTAAATAATATTTAAATAATAATAATAATAAGACTGGCGCTCACACAAAACGTTAATGCTTGGCCGAGCTTCTCCGATTTGTGGCGTAAATACGCGTTGATGTTGTCACACAAAGGGTAGGGACCTAGAGTGTTTTTCATCGTCCGGTAGCGAAATTCAAAAATGGTAGGCCTAGAAGTAGGCAAAATTCAATGCTTTGTCAGCTTATATAATTCTCTCAATGTTTTAATCGCCCACTCAGCGCATACATATGTACATATGTACATATCGTCAGCTGAAATGCAAAAAGACGTAACAACATCGTAGATGAAATGGAAAAAGTCGTGACTAATATTTTAATTTTTTTTTTATAAAATGATGTGGGGAGTTTTAATTCGATGAAATCCATCATATAAATCAAAAAGTGAATTTTGAATTTTATATTAGTTATGACTTTTTGCCTATCAACGATGATGTTTGTTAAGTCTTTTTGCATTTCAGGTGAAGATATGTTAACTAAAATTTTTATCATACCAGATCCGTTAATTGATTAACCTTATTAGGAATAGAATATAAACATATGGTCAAAATTTTTATTTTAACGTTACGGGTAACGTTGTTTCCTATCTTTTGTTGTTTTTAAAGATAATTGTGGTTTTAGATGGTCTCTAACGTTACATTTTTTGGCGAATCCTGCAAAGTTAAAAATTCAACTAAAAAATTTTAATAAAGATCAAGGTTCAAGGAAAGTATAAAAATATATTGAATTTTAGATAATACACGTTTGTAACAAATCTATAAACCGAAATATGCAGTTTTAACGTTACTTACCATACTCCACATGATAAAAACAGTACAAGGTAAATTCATTCTCTCATTTCTTCGGCCATGATTTTTTTCTGACGTTTGCCAACATTTTAAAATCATATAAAATTGAAAATAAAAAAATTAAATTGTTCACAATTGTTGTTGTTTGAGATTGAAAATGAGAATGTGTGTGTGAGTTTGAGTTTTGATTTTAAAATTATATTGTTGGCAAACGTCAGACTGCCTCTCAATGGTTTTACCTTGTTATGTTTTTATCATGATACTCCACATTACTTGCACATTATACTAAAATTTAATAGGCTACCAAACTGATAAAAATTCGTTAACTTTTTCTAATTACTATATAAAGTTTGAGATTTTGATTTATGTATGTATATGGTTTTGGTTAAAGCATGAACCATATTTTTATGAAAAAATAACATAAGAATTTTGACTTTAAAAACCTTTCGAATATTTAATAAAAATCACCGGGTACTCATTTCTGCTCCACGACTCTGCGTAACCCGATCGAACCAGATTTATAACTGACCAAAATCCGTCATGTCAGCAGCATTCCTTACAACTTCTTGACGAAAATACTGGCTTATGAAAAATATAAAATATAAATTGAGGGCACCAATGCATCATAGTTAGATAGTCGCTACCTAGGGGCAGGGAAAAAGTGAAAAATAGGGCAACAAAAAAAATCACAGAAATCAACCAGATGTTTAACCGTTTGAAACTTGCACTTCATTAGACTAAAATTGCGTACCCAAAAATGTTCTAAAGAATCAGATTAAAAAGTTGAAATTTTGATGAAAATTTGTGGAATTTTTTTATCCTAAATTTTGTATAAAGTTTGTAACTGTGATTTATGTGGTTTTTTGTAAAGCTGAAACGGTATTTTTATAGAAAAATAACAAAAAATAAATTAGCTCGAAAAACATTACGAATATTAAAAAAAAAAAAAGCAATACGTGGTCATTTGTTTGAGTCACGCATAACGCGTACTTAGTTTTTCTCTCTAACGTCAGGATTTTTTTAAAAGGACTTTGGAATTTAAAAAATATGATTATTTAAAAAAATTTTTTTAAAAATTCAGTGCTATGTAGTTTAAAGATAAGGCTATCAAATATAAGAAAAAATTCTGTAGAATTAAAACAGAATAAATTTGTTGGTGCATAAGGACGAACGGGTATGGAAAAGTCCTATAAAAAATGTGTCCTTAAAAATCCTTGAAAATTTGCAATATTTATTTTTGAAAAATTTTTTGTTTGTGGACTTATATATGTTCATACGACCACATCATCGAATTTCGTCCGGCAAACTTTATTAACTTGAAAAGATAAAATTTATTAAAAGCTCATTTTCAATACCTATTCGTCCTTGTAAACCAAAAATTTTTATTGTGTTTTTAAATTCAACAGAATTCTCTCTTTCATTTGGTACCCATAATGTTATTCTACATTGCACTAATTTTATTAAATAATTTTTTGAATTAATCATATCTTTAGAATTTCAAAGTCCTTTGAAAAAAAAAATCCTGACGTACCTTAAGGGTGGCATTAAGGGCCTTCCCACGGATATAAATAATAAGTGACGGTAGGTTTAGCAGTACATCCAGAGCAGACCCAGGTGTTGTATCGTTCTTTAAAATTTGGCAAGCGAATTTGCCAAGCTATTGATTTAGATACGTAGCTGATTATGGGTATTTTCATAGAGGTGTAAATCCACAGGATTCCTCTAGCTGCGATGACCCCACGTTTTACCAAAGACCCGTTTACATTGCCAGAATGATATTAAGAATTCGGAAATCTTCATCTCAACGTGAGACTTCGATGAAAGTTTACTATATCTAGGATTACACCTGCATATGTAAATACTTTACTTCGGAAGAATTCTGAATACGGGTATTACTCATTTATTGCACTAAAAAGTGAAAAAGTACAATTTTTAGCTAATTACAACCTTACTTTATAGCTTTCTACTCATGTTCCACCACCTCGGCCCGCAAACGTTTAGCCAAGGTCTTACGCAATTGCAACGCCGAACTCTGCGGCTCACCGTCACCTGCGGCTTCGCCAACGTTTTCCTTTTCTAGCAGCTCGGTGGCTTTACCGCCGTTTTCCAGCAATTTCTGCGCCACTTGTGCTGAGGACGGACGTCCAGTAGACGCCTGACTGGTAGCACTTTTGCGCGCCACCGTTTCGAGCAGCTGCTTGGCGCGTGTCTTTTTCTTAATTTCAACAATTTTATCACGTTGCTGGCGAAGGTATTCCTGACGCGACACAACATCATCGGGATCAATCTGCGGAAATAATTCCGATTCAGAAAAGTTGGTTTCATAAAACAAAAATTTAAAATCTTTTTAGGGTAGTTTTCACACTGCCAATTGTGAGTTAACTGTGCACCGTGAAAACGAAACTTATGTAAATGCTAACCCTTTGGTTGTCGAAGAATAAATTCAAACGCGCAAATTTTTCGTTCACGCTTGAGTCTACACTCTCCGGTTCAGGGGTTACTGCTGCTTCTGGGCTTTCCAGTTCCTTCTCCAAGGACTTCGCTATAAAATCCTCGACCTCATCATATTCTCCACTGGAATTAGTCAAATGTGGTATAAAGCGAAAGCGAGAGATTTTAAAAGAAGAAGCACTAACCAATGAGAACTACCGGTTTCCGTGGAGCTGGCATTGTCAGCGGGTTCGCTCTCCTGCAGCAGAGCTAATTGATTTTTCTCAATCAAATCCAACGCCTGCAGTTGTAGCTCCACATTCCGTTGGGTCATCATGCGTATAAACATTTTTATATCATTGGCTGCCCAAATCTGCAATGCGAGAACGGTTCAAAAAGACCCAGATAAAGTCAATATGCATGTAAGCATGTAAGTGTCAAAATAACGCATACACCTGCTGAAA